AATTAAGATTATAATATTACAAATAATATATTTAATATTAGAATTCAGTTTACAATAGTATTCCTGCAATCCCGCGACTCCGATTTGTTAGAATTAATTTAGATTTAATTAGATATTAATTTATATTTAGGAATATCTTTTAGATTGTTTATATCTTTGTTAGAAGATATATATCTTAGATCTTCTTAGATCTTTGTAGAAGATATATTTTAGATTTAATTTTATGTATAAATAGCTTAGTGAAGTAGGCTATTGTAATTCATTGTAAATCCTTATTTGAAGCTATCAGTAAATATTCTTTTTGCCTTTTATCTTCCCTGTGCACCAACAATTGGTATCTAGAGCTCCAGTTCGAAATCCACGGGAAAAGAAGTATTGTGATTAAGAATTATAATATTCTGATTCTGGAGGATTTTTGAGAAAACATTGATTTGGGAAACTCTGCGTAAATTGCATAAGGTAGAAGATGAACAGAAACAGTGGCGATATTCATTCAAAGCTTCCAGTATTTGATGGCAAAAACTGGAATCGTTGGAAGATCCAGATGCGCGTGTTATTTGGTTCTCAAGATGTGTTAGAACTTGTTACTGATGACTATAATCTGTTAGAAGAAGATGCAACAGAGGCCCAGAAGATAGCACAGAAGGCGCTGAGGAAGAGAGATCAGAAGGCATTGTTCTACATCCATCAATGTGTGGATGCGAATGTGTTTGAGAAGATTGCTGATTCTGAAACAGCATGGGGCACACTAGTCAGATGTTACGGTGGTGACGCAACAATGAAGAAGGTTAAGCTTCAATCTCTCAGAAAGCAATATGTGAATCTCAACATGAAGGACAACGAGAAGGTTTCTGAATACATCTCTAGAGTGATCCTGATCACTAATGAGATGAAAGCTTGTGGAGAAAATCTGTCTGAACAAGTAATCATTGAGAAGATATTGAGATCTTTAACTTCTCAGTTTGATTATATTGTGGTAGAAATTGAACATTCTAAAGATCTGAGCACCATGAGATTTGAAGAGCTGCAAAGTAGTCTAGAGGTGTATGAGTTGCGTATGACTGCAATAAATTATAAGAGGGAAGTATAGCAGCAGGCTATAAAAGTAACTTCTGGTAAGAAGCATCAGAAGAAGACTTGGTCAGAAGCCAGGAAGAGAACTAATGGCGGTCAAAAGTCAGAAGCTTCAAACTCTGATAGGCAGAAGAATGTTCAGAGGAGAAAGGAGAAGTCTGACAAGAAGAATTTTCAATGTTACTGTTGTAGGAACTTTGGTCACTATGCCAAAGATTATTGTTCAAACAAAGAAAGGAAGTCAGAAGAAGCAAATATAGCAAGGGGAGACTCTGATGATGAACCTGTGCTATTGTTGGCTTCTGAACCTGATGATCTGAATTCATCAGAATGGTGGTATATGGACACAGGGTGCTCAAACCATCTTACTGGAAACAAGAAATGGTTGGTTGACTTTGACTCTGGGAAGAGTACAAAGATCAGATGTGTTGATGATAAATACCTCAATGCAGAAGGTATAGGAAATGTCAGAATCATTCTAAACAATGGGAAAGCAGCAATGATCCAAAATGTTTAGTATGTACCTGGAATGAAAAGCAATCTGATGAGTGTGAGACAATTGGTTGAGAAAGGTTTTTCAGTTACAGTGAAGGACAATCTTCTGAAGCTGTATGACTATAATCAGAAGCTGATTATGGAGTCAGAGCAGGGAAGGAACAGAACATTCAAGGTGAATGTTAGAAATGCAGACTCTGAATGTCTTAGTGCAACAAGTGTTGTCAAGGAGAGTGAGCTGTGGCACAGAAGATCTGGTCATCTGAATTTCAGAAGTTTAGGGCATCTGAAATCAAAAAATTTGGTACATGGGATTCCTACAATCAAGAAGCCTGAAAAGTCATGCAAGGTGTGCATGGAAGGGAAGCAACCAAGATTACCCTTTGCATCAGAAGTAGCTCCAAGAGCAAAACATGCCTTGGGAGTAGTACATTCTGATGTGTGCGGTCTGTTTCCAGTAGTATCGACTGGAGGAAATAAATACTTTGTATCATTTGTTGATGAGTTCACCAGAATGACATGGGTATCTCTCATAAAGTTCAAACACGAGATGTTTGCTGAATTCAAAAAGTTTGGACTGAAGGCTGAGAATCAGAGTGGCCAGACTCTGAAAATTCTTAGAACTGATGGTGGTGGTGAGTATAACTCCACAGAATTAAGAAGTTTCTATGAAGAGAATAGAATTGAGCATGAGGTTACTGATCCATATACTCCTCAACATAATGGTCTTGCTGAAAGAAGAAATTGTACTTTTCTAGATATGGTGAGAAGCATGCTGAAAGAGAAGAAGCTTCCTCATACTCTATGGGGAGAAGCTGTTGCAACTGCATGTTATGTGCTCAACAGATGTCCAACAAAGAAATTAAAGGAAATAGTTCCTATTCATAAGTGGACTGGAGATAAGCAAAGTGTTAGTCATCTAAAGATGTTTGGTTCTGTATGTTACAAACATGTCCCAGAAGACAGAAGTTGGATGGTAAAAGTAAAGTGATGTTGCTGGTGGAGTATCACAGTACAGGTTCATACAAACTTTACTGTCCAGAAACTAACAAAGTTGAGTTCAGCAGAGATGCCACTGTAGAGGAATCATAAGTTTGGAATTGGGAAAAGTCTCATCCTGACTCTAATGACAGAACTTCTGAAGAAAGGTCAGAACACATATTTCTGAAGCTGGTAAAGACTATGACTCTGAAGAAGATACAGAAAGAGAAGATGATTCTGACTCTGACTCTGATGGTGATCCAGACTCTGAAGACAGACAAGGTTCTGGAGAAAGTCCAATTGCTGAAGCAAGTACTTCTGAGGGGAAAGTTCTGGTGTCCAAAGTTCTGAAGGTCCAGTTCAGAGGAAACAAAGAGTCAGAAGCATCCCAAGAAGATTTGCAGAGTTTGACATGTTTCTAGACACTGAAGTAAACTCTGAAGGAGACGTTATTCAGTGTGCAATGTTAGTAGACTCTGAACCCGTGAGTACGAAAGAGGCTCTTAAGCAGCAAGTTTGGTTACAGTCCATGAAAGAAGAACTTGATGCTATAGAAAGAAATAAGACTTGGAAGTTGACATAACTTCCAAAAGGCAAGAAAGTCATCAACGTCAGATGGTTTTCAAGCAGAAGCTAAATCCAGATGGATCAATTGGCAAACACAAAGTGATATTAGTATCAAGAGGCTTCCTACATAAGCCTGGGCTGGATTACTTTGAAGTATTTGTACCTGTAGCGAGACATGAAACAATCAGACTGGTGATTGCAATAGCTACTAACAGGAATTGGCCTCTGATGCATTTAGATGTAAAATCTGCATTTCTGAATGGTACATTACAAGAAGAGGTATACGTTTCACAACCTCCTGGATTTTAGAAAAAGAATCAGGAAGGGATGGTGTTCAAATTATATAAAGTATTGTATGGATTGAAGCAAGCGCCCAGAGCTTGGAATTTGAAGATTGATTCGTTTTTCAAGAAACATGGGTTTCAGAAGTGTGAGATGGAGTATGGTGTTTATGTTCAGCACACTTCAGAAGATAATATGATTCTGGTCTGTTTGTACGTTGATGACATACTACTTACAGGAAGTTCTGAACAAGAGATAGTTGAGTTCAAAAAAGTTCTGATGAATGCATTTGAGATGACAAATCTTGGAAAAAATGAGTTTCTTTCTAGGGATGAAATTTATGTACTCTGAGAAAGGAATCATTTTACATCAGATGAATTATGAACTAGAGCTTCTGAAGATATTTAAGCTAGAAAATTGCAAGGTTGTTATCACACCTGCTGATACGAATCAGAAGTTAGACTCTGATTTTGATGGAGAGGATGTGGATGCTACCACCTTCAAACAGATGGTTGATTCTCTAAGGTATTTGTGTAATATCAGACCTGATATTTTCTATGCAGTTGGAATGGTTAGCAGATTTATGAGCAAACCAAAGTGGTCCCATTACCAAGTTGCAGTCAGGATTCTGAGGTATGTGAAGGGAACTCCGAAATATGGAGTGTTATTTCCGTCTGGAAGAAAGATCGAATCAGAACTTCTGAGTTATTCTGATTCTGATTGGTGCGGAGATAGAGTTGACAGAAGAAGTACTTCTGGGTACTTATTCAAATTTCTGGGAGGTCTTATTTCTTGGTGTTCCAAGAAGCAACTCGTTGTTGTTCTGTCAACTTGTGAAATTGAATATATTGCAGGTGCTCTGACTGCATGTCAAGCTGTGTGGATTCTGAACTTGCTAAAAGATCTGAAGATTGAGGTAAATAAACCTCTGAAGCTGATGATTGATAACAAGTCTGGAATCAATCTTGTCAAGAATCCAGTGTTGCATGGGAGAAGCAAGCATATTGAGACCAAGTATCATTTTATGAGGAATCAAGTTCAAAATGGAATATTAGAGGTTGTGCACTGTAGCACTCAGAAGCAGCTGACAGATGTTCTGACAAAGACTATCAAAACTGATCAATTTCTTGGTTTAAGAGGTGAAATTGGTGTTGTCAGTTTTGGATAAATATAAATTAAGGAATGGTGTTACAATTAATTTAGATTTAATTAAATCTTAATTTATATTTAGGAATATCTTTTAGATTGTTTATATATTTGTTAGAAGATATATATCTTAGATCTTCTTAGACCTTTGTAGAAGATATATTTTAGATTTAATTTTGTGTATAAATAGTCTAGTGGAGTAGGTTAATATAATTCATTGTAAATCCTTATTTTGAAACTATCAGTAAATATTTCTTTTATCTTTCTTGTGCACTAACACGATTATCTACTTACAAGTTACATCGAACCCTTGAGTTTAAGATATGTTTGGAGTTTCCATATAATAAGAATCATGTTGAAGAGAATCTCACTCAATTTTGTGGATTCCGTATAATGCATGTTAAGTAAATAGTATGCTTAATTTCTAGTAGGTGTTTAAGATTGATTGATACCAAATGAAACCAAACGCATTGGTCTTTGTCGTTGTAGCTAGGTGCTTACTCTATAATAGAAGCCTCTTAATGGATGGAGTAGTTAGCACATCTTGTTTGAGGCCAATTAAAAAGATTGGTAGGGTTCTTTGTCCATTACATGGAATCATATCTATAAGCTATGGGTCCCAAGGTGAGCAAAACGATTACCACACGAGTGTGTGAGTGAACAGAAAACAACAAACCCACACAAAATGTCAATGGTCCTTATAATGGGACATTATACATCTGATATCGGAGACTTGATAGCATAAATTTGATAGTAGACGGTTTAGTAAATCTTAAATTAGATTTAAATATCATGTTAAAAATTATGGTTGAATTTAACTTAATTCAATAAAACTGATTTGTAAGATGAAAATTATTTCACTTATAAAAACATATTCAAATTATATATTATTCGGTGTGAGATTCTTAAATAATTCCTTTCAGCAAATAATTATATCAAATGTTCATTTGATTTTATTCACCCGTAACACTATCTATGAATCATATTCAACAAAATACGCGACCACTTCTCTGATTTATAATCATCCGCATCTACGACTTAAAATCACGATCTCTTACATCAAGGTGATATAACGAACGGCGGAGAGAAAGACACGTGGGGGACATGCATATAAGAGAGTCCAAACAACATTGGAGCAATAGAAGAAAGAAGAATATCCTTTATCAAGGGTGAGGTATAGTGGGGAGTAGCATGATGAAGGATGCACACAAGATCTTTTATATAAGCACACACTTGGTCCCATGCAACCTCCATGCTTTTTCATATTCAATCATACACCACCATTTTTCAACCTCTATATTTATCAACGAGTTTAATTATGATGGCATGCTTTTGATACTACATTACTATGTTGACTAATCCCAACTAACAATTCTCTCCCTAACACTTGACTTGATCATTCACCAAACACTCTCATATAGTCACCCTTCTTTTAAGTTCCTCTCTCTCTATCTATCTCTCTTTCCATTCAAATACTACTTTCTTCAATTTCTACACATACTTCAAAACTATACACTTTTTTCAGTTCTAAAGATTTCTCTTCTTCCTAAGATTCAATCACTAGCATCAATATTATATAGTTATATATATATTACAGGTATGTTCTCTTCTTGTTAAACTCTCTAGTTTTTTTTTTTTTAATTTTATTTTACTTTAGTACTGTTTTGATGAAGTGCTTTATTTAATTTTTTTTAATAAGCATGGTGTAGTACTAGTAATTTAATCATAACATTGTTTTTTTTTTACTTCCCACTCCTCAACTTATTAAATAATTTAAAAGCTTAAAGTTATTTTTTTTGTCATAAAGATGAATATCACTTTTGGCAGAAGATAAGAAAATTGAAGAAAAAGTATATGTTCTGCTTAAAAAATTCCAAAAGTAAAGTGCCAAAAACAAAATGATAGAAAAAAAACTTGCTGAATTTGAAGCATATCTCAAAAAATCTAAGACATGATTGGTTTTGATGAGCTATTAATGATGTAATGTTACACTAATTTTTTATGAATAAAAATGAGAAGAAATGAGAAACAAAGATTTAAAAAAAAAAAAAAAACTAAAAGTTTGCTTCCAAGTTGTGATTCTTTTATGAGAGAGGAGAACCATAGCAGTTAGTGGACCACTCTAGGCTATTACAAGTTTCAAGTGAAAAAAGAAAAAGCATACACTAGTGTTTATGAATCAAATTCTTTAGAAACACAATAGAAGAATGAAAATGACTTAACCAATTGGCATCACAAAAACATTATCTATAACATTTTCCTTAAGTAACACAGTAGTAGAAGTTTTTTACCTGTTTTTTCCTTTTTGAAAAAAAGAAGAGACACAGCATTGAATATGTTTTATTAGTAGCTTAATTTTGTCTGGCAACAGTTATTTCAATTATCATTGTATGTGACCAGGAAAATCAGAAGCTTGATGTTGGTGAATGAGAGTATTCTGCATCAGTTGAAATTCACTTCTTCACCAACTTAATTCAGCTTTAATGTTAGAAGCAACTAGAGAGTAGAGACAGGTGTGCAGTGCATGTGAATTTTTTGTGACAGATATTACTTTGTCTAATTGAAGGAACAATGTTCTGAATTTGCAGGCAGGCACCTCGAAGTTTTGGTATAGACAACGATAAACGAGAATGAAGTTCATGAAACTTGGGACAAAACCGGATACTTTCTACACGGAACAAGCTACGAGGTATTATTCACAGTAGCATTCATTAATTTTGTTAAGAAACGAGGCTTTTGCAAATGACCATGTATTCTGATAAATGCAGGACATTGACATCAGAAATAGCCTCAGATCTTGTGATACAAATCAATGATGTTACTTATCTTCTACACCGGGTAATAATGAGTGAGAATTGAACATGTTATGATGTTCATCTATATGATTATGTTATTTTGACCTGCAGTTTGCGCTTGTTCGGAAATGTGGACTCCTACAGAGGCTTTGCTACGAAACTAGTGAGTCGGAGAGTGTTAGTGTGGAGGTTCATGATATACCTGGAGGGGAAGATGCTTTTGAAGTTTGTGCTAAGTTTTGTTATGGAATTTCGATCAACATTAGTGCTCATAACTTTGTATCTGCATTTTGTGCTGCCAAGTTCCTTAGAATGAACGAGTCCGTGGAGAAGGGAAACTTTGTAGGAAAACTAGAGTCTTTCTTCAATTCATGCATTCTTGAAAGCTGGAAGGATCCCATTGCGACCCTTGGGAGTACTGCTACGTTACCAGAGTGGTCTGAGAATCTGGGTATTGTAAGAAAGTGCATCGATTCCATCATTGAGAAAATTCTGACACCCTCACAACAGGTCAACTAACTTGCTTGAATATCTGTGTATCCATTTTTGATATGCTTATAAATGATGATGGATGATTCATTCTTTGCAGGTGAAATGGTCCTTCACCTACACCAGACCCGGTTACACGAAAAAACAGCATCATTCTGTTCCAAAGGATTGGTGGACTGAGGATGTTTCTGATCTCGACATAGATCTTTTCAGATGCATAATAATGGCTATTCGATCAACCTACGTGCTTCCACCACAGCTTATCGGAGAAGCTTTACATGTCTATGCATGCCGCTGGCTGAATAAAAGTTCAGGCAGTTCAGCATCTCAAACAGAAGAATCTAAGGTGAAAAATAGAAAAATTCTTGAAACAATTGTAGCCATGATTCCTGCAGATAGAGGTTCGGTTTCAGTGGGTTTCTTGTTTAGACTTCTCAGCATTTCAATCCATTTGAACGCCTCGTCCGTGATAAAGACCGAACTAATAAGAAGAGCTAGCTTACAGTTTGAGGAGGCAACTGTGAGTGACCTTCTTTATCCTTCAAAATCATCTTCTGATCACAATTATTATGATATAGAATTAGTTCTAGCTGTCTTGGAAACTTTCCTAAAGCTTTGGAAAAGAATGTCCCCTGGTGCTGTAGATAACACCTACTTTTTGAGATCAATCAGAAATGTCGGAAAACTCATAGATTCCTATCTTCAAGTCGTTGCAAGAGATCATAATATGCAAGTCTCTAACTTTGTTTCTCTCGCTGAAACCGTGCCCACCATTGCTCGACTTGACCACAATGATCTATACAAGGCAATTGACATCTACCTTAAGGTAATTCTCATTAAGCTGTTTATCCAAACACCGCATAATTTTTGATTATTTTAATGCATCAACAGGTACATCCTGACCTCAGTAAAGCAGACAAGAAGAGACTGTGTGGGATTCTAGATTGCCAAAAACTCACGCCAGAAGTGCGCGCCCATGCTGTCAAAAACGAGCTCCTGCCGTTAAGAACTGTAGTGCAGCTTCTGTACTTTGACCAAGACAAAGAATCTATGCCAAACACAGGTCACAAACTGTTGAAACAACATGAGATCATTCTTGGACCAAAACAAAGAACAGCTACAAAGGATAGCCAAAGCAAGCAATCATTAGGAACCACACAGATTCTTGAAAGTCGAGAAAAAGATCAGCACAGAAATAAAAGAATGGATGGGAATTTGGCATTAGAGATGGACAAAAAGATGCTAATAAGAGGAAGAGAGATTGAAGAGAAAGATGAAAGTAGTTCAAGCTACAAGTTGGAAATTGATCCTAACAATATGATAACAAGGGCAAGAAGTAAATCAGAACATAGCATGAAAAGGGCAGATAGAGATAAATAATTACTAATATAATCTTTTCAAGAATTCAAAGTTCAAACCTTCCTATGTATGCAATTTGTAGCCTCAATTCTTTTTTTTTTTTTACCTTATCATAAATGTGATAACTAAATAATCTTTGTACTGTCAAATTGTATGTAGGGATTTTTTATTATGTGTAATCGTTGTATGTCAAATGAGAAAGCGCTGAATGTTTATTTATAATCATGTGAGTTGTATTTCAACAAAATAACATAATGAATACAAAAATACTAATCGATCAAAACGGATTCTTAACACTTAAGTCGGATCATATAGGTTATATTGGCCAAACTCGTTACAAATATAATCTACTTGAAAGCTTTTGAGAAACTTAACCAACATATCAGTCAATTGATCTTCAAATTTGACACAATTTATAGTAGTTTCTCAAGAAAGTACGTTGTCCTTTACATGAGGACAATTGATCTACATGTGTTTGGTTTGTTCATGAAAAATCAGATTGGATGCAATGTGAAGTGCAACTTGATTATCGCATATGAGTTTTGTGGCCCGAAGATCTCACGATTTTAGCTCAAAGAGTCAATTTTTAAGCCACATGTGCTCCTTTGTTTCTTGCCTCAACATGAAATCATATTTTCTCTAATAAATACACAATATCCCCAGAAGTGGATTTTCTATCAGACTATGATCTAACCCAATCGACATTCGAATAACAAGTGATTTTATCGTCTTCCTTATCTTCATTTAATACTTCTCTTTCCACTACATTCTTTATATATTTGAGAATATGAATAAAAATTGCATTCCAATGATTATCGCAAGGAGCGTTAAGAGAATTGACTCCCAATGCTCACTGCAATAGTAATATTAAGTATTGTAACTATAAGATAATTGAGTTTGTCCACGAGACACTGATATCTTTTTGGGTCTTTCAATGGCTTCTCTGATCAGGAAAAAACTTGATATTGAAATCCTTATGAGTATCAATAAGACGACAATCAAGCATACCAGTTTCACTAAGAATATCCAATGATACATGTGATGGTCAATTGTAATGCCCGATGAAGACTTAGCAACTTTAATGTTTAAGAAGTATTTAAGGGAACCCAAATCTTTTGCTTGAACGATTTTGAAAAGATACATTTTGAGTCATCTCTAGCAATAGCAATATCATTAATATAGACAACAAGAAAAATGTGTTGACCAATAGAGAAATAATCGAAGAAAACATACTAATTCACTTCACATCTAATCATATTAAAATGAATTAGGAAAAAGATGAAGCGACCAAATCAAACACCAAACACGTATGGACTGTTTCATTTCTTAAAAGAGAACGCTGAAGCCGACAGACAAATCTAGAATTATTAGGAATAGTAAAATCTAGGTTGATCCATACAAATTTCCTCACGTAACTATCAATGTAAAGAAGCAATTTTAATGTCCAAACTGAAGAAGTGACTAGCTATGAATGGCAACCTAGTAAGAAAGAGGTGAACATAAATAATTTTGGCCAGTGATGATGGTTACTTGGCTAATTATTTTTAAATTAAGTTGAGAGACTCATTCAATGCAGTCGATTCAATGTAGTCAAGAACGAGATCTTAAGGATCAACCAGTTTTGTGAAAGATCGTAAAATTTGAATCGTTAGCACGACACTTAAGATTCTACCAAAGAGAAAAATAATAGTTTCATATATATTTATACACGCACATGCACAAAAACATAAAAATTATAATTCAGGTCTAAAAAAAAATCCAACAGGTTTTTTTATGATTTTGCTCCAAAAAGCTCAATTTTGACAACACCGGAGATGAAAATGGTATTTCTATGATTGTAGCACTCTCAGCATCATTAGCACGTAAGATCTTACGATCCAGCGGTCGATCTTGACTACACTGAACTCATTTGTATTTAAGGTAAATTAAATTTGAAAATGAGTTAAATTGGGTTGTTGAAGTTTAAATTGTGAGTTTTTAGACATTAGAAGACATTACATAATTGCAAAGAAATAGCTTATATGGAAAAGTAACGATAAATACATGGAGCCGTTCTATATAACCTCCAAAATTACGAAAATGGCCGATAGAGAAAAATAATTAATAATAATCTTTGAATAATTCAAATTCAAACTTGTCTCCCTATAAAATTTTTAGAATCAAATAGTCTTAAAAAATACTCACTCTATTGATCCAAAAAACACTCATATTTGGTGGTGTGCCAAATATAGCTAAACTTTATTACTTCATTTGATTATGTGATTAGTAAAATATCTATTATTCAATATTTTATATTGGAAAATATCTCTCAATTAATAACTTAAAATATAATTTTGATTTATGTGAAACAAAGTCCTACAAAAGTAAGCATGATTCCTGTAGATAAAGGGTCGGTTTTAGTTGGTTTGTTGTTTAGACTTGTCGGCATTTCCGTCCATTTGAATGCCTCATTATTGGTTAAGGAGAGCTAGCTTACAGTTTGAAGAAGCAACATTGAGTGACCTTCTTTATCCTTCAAAATCCTCTTCTCACCGGATGCTTTGTGACGCCGTTTAGCGGATTATGGCATAAAAACCTGCAATATCAACAAAAATTCATTGCGGCTGGCCCAAAAACCGCCACGTATATAGCTGATTATGGCATAAAAACCTGCAATATCGACAAATATTCATTGCGGCTAGCCTAAAAACCGTCACATATATAGTGGATTATGGCGTAAAAACCCACAATATCGACAAATATTCATTGAGGCTAGCCAAACCGATAAGTGCTTT